TTATCAGTTGTAAAAGAAGGAAGAGAATGGAATGAAGGGGGATCATTCAGGGTTGCCTATACACTGTAATTAGAAGTAGCATTGATGGGGAATGAGCTAACTGTTTCTATAAAGTCAGCATTCAAAAATGCAAACCACCAGTAATTTAAATATTACAAAATTGTGCAGAATATAAGTATTGGAATAATTTTTTCCATCCACAAAATTTTAGAGAAAATTACAGTATTACCAAATATGAAATGGCAGGCTTGGCATATCTTCAGCCTAAAACGTGTTTTTTTATTGGAAAAGACTTTTAAAAACTAGTGGGTAAGTTCTTGACAGGATGTGATGTAGAAGAATATGTGGTATGTCTCTAAAACTACTTCTGGAACTAGAGAGGAAAAGTCTCAGAAGTACCAATGGACCACGACAGTTAGAAACCAAGCTAATGAGACTCTGAATTAAGAACTTGGGCTACTTATCACAATGGTTATTTGCCCTTATCCCAGACTCCTAAATAAATCACCCTAAGATTTAGGGTTTCAAATACATAAAAGTCTCTTGTTACATTTGACCTAGCAAAGCAGAGGTGATTGGAGAGATGCCACTTTCCAACAAACAGAAGCACAGACTTGGCTCGCTGAACAATTTTCAGAGCTATTATTCTGCCTTTTTTAGAGGAGAATTCAGTTTATTTCTACTCATACTTCTCCTCAGAGGATATTAAATCCTGAATACACAGATGGCAAAGTGGAGCTAAGGGGTTACTAGGTTACAGTTATGTTGACATATCCTGGCTTCCAGAATGTCCCTCCCTCTCTCCTCATATACAGCAAGCAGCAGAAGTGATCAAATTGTAAAAGTCTCATAGAAGGCAGCGAACACTCAGAAATTACTTACTGAGCCTCAGGTTTACAATGTGTGGAGACCTTTGTTCTAATGATCTAAAAGTGCTGCCTTTTTCAGGGATTCATCAGGCAGGAAGTTTACAGCATTCCCAGGGTAAATGAGGTTTCTAGCACCTGGTGAACTTCAAAGCATTATAAAAAGTATTATTAAAATATGCTGATTACCTTTGTACACATGTTACCAACACTATCATTTAATCTTTCACAACACTCTGCAAGGGAATTATCATCACACGAATCACCCCTCTAGCTTTACCGATGAAGAAACTGAGGCTCAAAATCACACAGAAAAATAGATCACCAAGTCCTGGCACTAACCCAAAGTTGGCAAGTAAATGAAGCAACTCTCCATTTTGGGGGTGGGGGAGACTGGGTCTCACTATGTAGTTCATGCTGCCCTTGAACTCATTATAGCTCAGGCTGGCCTTGATCTTACAGTGATTCAACTGCTTCGGTCTCCTGAGTGCTGGGATTACAGGCCTGTGCCACCACACCAGGCACAAAGCAACTCTTGAGTTTTCTTTCACCAGCAAAAAATCCTGTCTTTCCAACAATGCAGTCTGTAAGTTTGAGTAGAGAACCCAGAGCATGGTTTTTCTACTCAAACAGACCTGTAATGAAATCTTCCCTCCCTTTCATAAATGTCCCATGCTCAATACCCAAACAACCTGCAGAAAAAGTTAACTGGGCCAGGCAACGCCCTCTTGCTTGCTCTTCAACTTGGAAAGGATTCTGCTACCAGGAAGATGTGTGAAAGCTAAGCAAAATCCCAGCTTCCATTCTGACCAAGAGCCCCACCTCACAAGACCTGCTGGCCTTAACTTGCGAACCAGGAGCCCGAGCAGGACAACCAGTTTAAACTGTGGTGTTACCCAGGCCACAGGACTCCACTTTACACACTCAGCACCCTAAGCACTGCAGGGGAAGTTTCCTACCACCCATTCCTTTTCTTTCTCTTGTGCTGGACAGTCACCTGAATACTAGTGAAGTTCAAAGAGGTCTCAAGGGCAAGGAGATAGGGGGCGTTCAGGATAGATACAGCCGGTCGTCCCAGGACCCCGACCTGCCTTTAGCAGGGCCAACCAGGTAAATCAACTCCGCAGCTCTGAAGGCTGAGTTATAGGGTCGCCAAGAGGGAACAGCTGGGGGCCCGCAGCTCCGCGGGTAGGCGGGAGGCAAAGGAGCTTCACAATGAGGCTCGGAGAAGGGGTCCTGGTCCGCTGGAGGTGACTCAGAAACTTAGAAAGGGGGTATAGAGCCTTGAGGCGGGGAGCCCTCCTGCACTGAGGGATGTCGCTGAGGGACTCGGGGACGGGATCCCGGTGGGTAGCGGGCCAGAGGGGCATCCGGGCCCTGGGGAAGCTGAGTCGCCAGAGCTTGGCGAAGGGGTCCCTGGGGCACCGAGGCGGAAAGGGAGTCCCAGCCGGGTGTGGGCGCGGTGGCGCCGAGCAGCACCAGGTCTCCCGAGGCCGGGGGCTCAGGGCCTCGCTGCGGGGCTCGGCGAAGGAGTCCCGGGGCGCCGAGGCGGAAGGGAGGGGCCCCAGGCGGCGGCCCGCGTTGCCCCTCGGACGGGTTCCGCGCTGGGCAGGCGCCGGGGGTCGCTCACTCACCGGGTCCAGGTCCGGGTCCGGGTCTAGGTCCGGGCGCGGGCCGGGCCGCGAGCGTGAGCGCCGCGGCGGAGAGCAGGGCGAGGCGGGCGGCGGGCGGCGCCATGGGCCGTCAGTGCGGGGCCCCGGGGCGCGGCCCGGGGGAGAGGGGGCAGCGCGGGGAGCCGGGGGCGGCCATGGGAGCCGGACGCGGGGCCAAAGTGTGGCCCCGCCCCGGCCGCTTGGCTACCCCGCCCCGGCCCGCCCTCCTCAGAGCCGCCGCCACCGCCCCGGCTGCTGCGGGCCCGCCGGGCTCCGTCGGGAGGCCTGAGGGGCGGAGTCGACGGCACACTATGGCCCCGCCCCTCGCCTGCCACTCACGCTCTAGCCCCGCCTACCTCTCGCACCTTGACCCGCCGGCTGGGCGCCCTATTTGCCTGAGCTAGGGGTGGGGCCACCAGGTGAGGGGCGGGGCCTGGGCCCAGCCTCCGAGCCCACTTACTGAAGTTCCGCGGGCCTGAAGCCGGCTGGGTTCCCGTTGACCCCTGCTCTACCTTCCCTCGGGTCGTGACCCACATGCGGGCTCAACCACAGAAGTAATAATTAGAACAGCGTTTGAAAACCGCTTTTCCCTGTTCGGAGCATCGTAGTGAATAACAAAAATGTGCTTTGGAAGCAGCTTTTCCAGGTTCACAGCCCACTGAGTCACCTGTAAGACCTTGGACAGATTAAAAGAAATACAACTCCTACCTCGCATTGCCTCTTGTGTTAAATGGGGTGGGAGAGTAATAGCAACTGCTGTCCAAAGCGGTTGTGCTAAAATGAAATAATGCATGGGAACTTTTATGCACGCACAGTAGGGTTTCAGAAAATGTGAAGTTCTTTTCTCCATGCCAAGTCTTGCAGTCACAAAGGAGGCACATAATAAACTCTGGTTCTGAATTCTATCACACATCTTGTGTCAAATAGAGCAAGTTTCTTAATTAGTCTTGAGCCTCGGTCATCTGCAAAATAGGAACCATAAAAGGCCTTCACAGATTAGATGAAACAGAAGCAAGTAAACCTCCGGATGCAAAGCCTAGAAAATGAGTGGGACAGTGCTGCTTGTTTTACAGCATGAAGGACGAGCTGGCTTGAATTTTGAGGCCCTTTGCCTCCCCAAGTCTTTCCCAGCCTCACCCGGGTCTGTCCTAAGCCTGTCTTCTTCCCTATACTCCCCTAAGCAGAGGGATTTTCCTACAGTTTTGTCTACAACGCCGCGGTGACGCCCAGAGGGACAGGTTTGGGCGGCGCGCCGGGCGCTTTCAAGTCCTTGGTTCAGGGCTTGCAAGTGCGGACGTGCGCCCAGTGCAGCGGCAGGAACAGTTGCCCTCGTGTGCCGGCTCGCGGCGCCCAGGGGCCGGGCGGTGCCGACCCCCCGGGCTCCCTGGCCTGCCTTGCTACACCCGCTGCTGCGCCACACCGTCAGCTCCCAAAATCCACAATCCCCCCAGTCATACCCACCAACAAACAGCCAGCTGCTCCCAAGGCGGGGCCCCAAGGGAGCAGCTACCTCCCAGGAGGCCTCTCCATCCCTCCCCACCCACACGACCCAGCGCTGTGGCAAGAAGAATCTTGTTCAGTCATTTGTTTTCACTGTCATTCCTGAGTTCAAGAATCCTCTGGGCTCCTTACCGGAGCAAGGAGACACCACCACTAATCAACCCACCTGGCCACACACTCTATCCTGGGGACACACCCTCCTAAATCTCCTCAGATTCTTGCTCAGTCTCCATTTTCTCCAAGATTTCCGATCCTGCCTTGAGCCCTCCCAGACAGCATTTTCAAAAACAATGAAATAAAGTGCAAATGGAGCCATCAGTACAAAGCAAACTGAATAAAGTTGAACCTTCTTCCTTGAACAAATAAGAAATATGTCCATCAGTGAGGACATAGCCATCAACAAGACAGGCCCAAATCTCCCTCCTGGAAACTTACATCTTTGTCAACCCGTGGAAGGATCTCAATGTGTGTATAAATTTCAGACACCCAAAAGTACCACAGAGAGGAGGAAAAACAACAACAACAAAAAGTTAGCAAGATGATCTGTAGATTATTTTAAATAGGACTTTGGGGAAGGACTTTAGCAAACATGGGAAATAATTTTCTTCAATTCATTAGAATCGTTCCCATCCCATCGTCTATTTCGGGGAGAAAATAAAAAGGGGCATGAAGGAGGTTCAAAACAAGGTTTATCTGGCCCACTCTGGGTGCTCTAGCCTTCTAATAGAAATGCCAGACTATTCTACCTGAGTAGGAAGTCACCATTATCAGCCTTCTATCCTTCATTTGGTTTTCCTGCCCTTGAGAACAACCAGGACCAGCTACGTAATTTGCACAGCAGTAAGAAATAAAAATGTGAAGTCCTTGTTTAATCTTATTAAAAATTTCAGGATGGTGACAGAGCTTTAAAGCAAGGGGACCAGTGTCCATACACAAGTGGCACAGCCATAAAATCAGCCCCATGTACAACAGATCTCAGAAAGTATACAAAGTCCCACCCCCTCTTGTGCCCTAAGAAGCATTCCTCCAGCCTGCTCCCCCATTTTCTTTTCCAGCTTAAAGTCCAGCACAGGTGACAGAACCAGTGCACAAGAGGCTAAAAATACAGCTGAGTTTGTCTAGGTCATGGCACTTAAGGTCTCAAGGTCTTTTGCTCAGTTATGTGGTCCTGGCCTCTGGCAGAGAGCAGCCTGAGATATTCATTTCAATGCTTTGCATGCGTGGGACATTTAGCAGCTTCATTTCATGGAAAGAGTGAAGACACTAACTGTGGCCACTTACAGTCTCTAGTCAGGCATTCCGTGGGTAGCAAGATTTGCCAAGAAACTGTGACACCTAAATGGTTGGACTTTGTGTTAGTGTAAATCCTTAAAAACCCCATTTGGGATTACTTCTGCTCAAAGGACAGTTGTGTCATGGAGAGACCCCTGGACTGATTATAACAATAATACCAAATATCTAATGAGGTTTTTATTAAGTACTGCACAGTGTATCGTCCTATTTCACATAATCTTTGCCACCCCCATGGCCCCATATAGAGGGGTTAAGTGACTTGCTCAAAGTCACATAGTGGTGGGACTGGGTTTTGAACCCAGGCAGTGGGACTCCAGGGATATGCTGTTAAATACTATGCTAAATAGCCTCCTTATCTTCATAGGGTCCTATCAGTGAGTGATCTAGGAGTGCTACTAGAATGAGTAGACAAATGAAAGTGAGTCTTTCTGGTAAGCACACAAGCCACTCGGGGTCCAGGGAGAGGAAAGTCGGCGTCTCCTGAGAATCTTCCATGCTGGCACTTGGACCAACCAAGAAATCAACCAGCCAGCCTTTCTGGTAAACTGCATAAGTTGCACAGGTTCCAGGGAGAGAAAGGTCAGATAGCATGTCCTGTGAGCCTACCGGCATGCGGGCTAAGAATCAAATACCATCTGTGTGTGCAGGGGCCCCAAGCAACCAGATAGCTCAGAGGACAGGCTGAGTTGCTAGTAACTAAAGTACATAAAGCAACTAGCAACTAAATGCTTGTATTGCTTGGTTGATTTTTTAGGACGGGGGCCAGCAATCAGAGCATCTCTTGGGAGGATGACAGTATGCAATATAGCAAATATGGGGGATTTCCTTCTATCTTGTCTTTGAAGTCAAATAATTGTTTTTACTGTTTTGCTTTGTTCTGATTGTTTTTGCTTTATTCAACATTCACTTGATTGGTTTTGTTTTTGGTTTGATTTTGCTATACCTGATGGAATGGACAACTATTGTAAAGATAACAAGATATACTGTGATAGCAATTGTTTTCCTGGTGTCTTGTTTTGAAGTTCTGTACCAATTTTGGTGCATTGTTTTGATCAGCTTTGTTCTGTCTTTGTTGGATTTTACTATCTTTAAAATAAAAAAAATGAGAAGACACTAGCTAAAAATTTAAGGAAACTTAAATAGGAACACAGTAAAAAAGCAGCAATAGCAACAACAGGAACAAAAAAACAAAACTCAATAATCAAGATAAATATTATTTAATAATAAATATACAAATCTAATAAATATATAATAAACATTAAATGCAGTATCTTTTAAAATATAAATGAACACCCCAAAATCTACAATGAAATACATCAACTTTTTTTTTTCAGTGTTAGGAATTGAACCCAGGGTCTTACATATGCTAGCTAAGCACCATACCACTGAGCTATTCCCCAGCCCATTATCAACATTTTAAATAAAGACAGGATCTGTAATCCTGATTTTCCTTTGGACTCAGGTTTGATTCAGCACAGAATGCTTACTGATCCTGTCTCCCAGGTTTCTGACTGAGGTATCTAGTGATGGAAACTTTGAGAGAAGTAGTAATTTGCTTGTTTGATGGGGTGAGAGAAGAGAAACAATCTGGTCTTGAACACAGTGAATTAGAGGTAACTGTGGAGTGTCCTAGTTGGACAATTTTGGGTTGGAGATGGGAGTCATCAGCATTCCAACTCAGGTGACAAATGGTGAAAGGACAGGCAGACATCATTTCACATCCTTGGCCCAAGATTGGTACATATTCAGCACATGTGGTCTAAATCAGTGACCTTCACAGTTTGCATCATAGTTCAGGAATCTTTTCAAATTCTTTCTCCAAAGTTTTTCTCTTCAGATATGCCTCAGATATGTTCTCATAGGGCATAGAAATTAACTGCTTGGGTATTAAAATAAAAACATCTTCTGAGGAAGTGAGAAATAACAATTTCACAACTATTCCATAAAAGGGGAAAGAGAAGAATTCATATACATGGGTTCAATTTCTTCTTGACTAGCTGATTCTCCAGACAGAGAATAAGAGCTGAAAGACTAAAGAGAACAAATAAAAGAAAAAAGAAAGATTATAGGAGCTAAAAATACTAGGAGGAAAAGTTTGGCTAAGCATCAAAGGCAGATGTATTTCCAAATAGAGGTGCTAGTTTAGATATATTAGGAAGCACAACTCCCAATGATGGGTGGAAAATAAAGGTTATCAGATTGAAGTCAGCAAAATATAAAAAAGCTTCATATGAGCATCAAACTTAGGAAGACTTTCATCAATATAGTAGTCCAACTATCTCAACCCTATGAGCTAGCCAAGGATGGAAACTCTCACCATGGTTTCAGATTCCTGGACCAAATAGTCTTTCCAGCCTGAATTTATAATTCTTTTTTTGGGGGGATAGGATTCAACTCATGACTTTGTGCTTGCCAGGCAGGCTCTTATGCCACTGAGCTAAATCCCTGGCCCTGAATTTATAATTCTTAACAACTTTTGAGAGAACACTCTTTGCTGATGTCTAGTTTTCTTACTGTATCCTCCACTGCCCACATCCCTTTCCATCTAATGAAACATGAACTGTTCTGGGACACTCCCAGAACCACCAAACAGGAAATGTAGCTCCTGTCCAGTTACTACTTCTGTGAAGTCCATCAGCCTCACACATCTGTAGTGTAGATGGATGATGAGAAAAGAGACGCTCGGACACCCAAGCCAGATCAGAAATATTCCCGCCTTCAAGGGGCTCACTGTTTGGCTTCATAAACCTGAGGGACCTAAGACAAAGAGAATGTCAAATATTTGATTAAGTTACCGAGACCATAGGCAGTAAGGACTAGAGAGAAGGTTAGATGAATGAATAGGCTACAATATTAACAAAGTTAAGAACCACATCATCTACTTATTTTCTGCAGACAATATTCCCCAATTCAATTTGGGCCACCCCAAAGGCAGAAAGCGCAGAGATTTTTTTTCTTTTCCTATCCCAGTGCAAGAATGACTTACTAGGTACTAACTATGTCCATCAGAAGTTATGCCAAGTACTTCATTTACTCCATTCTCACTAAAACCAATGGGTAGGCACTATTACCATCTTCATTTGACAAATAATGAAACTGATCTATTTGCTCAAAGAGGGAGCCTGCCTCAGGAATTTGGATAGACCTGTGGGTCAGCCCTGTGCCAGGTTATTCCATATGCAAAATATGGAGTCTGACAGGCTAGAGTGCAGAGGTGCAAGTGATAAAAGGATAGATAAAACTGAAGTTGAGACATGGACCTGGGATGCCAACTTGAGTAAAACAATTCTTGAGCCCAGAGTCTCAAAACAGAGGACTAGGACTGGGCCAAAAAGGGTGTGTGGCTGGACCAGAGGGGAGGAAAGGCCTCACAGTGATAACTGTGAATGATTCAGAGCAATGGCTGTGCAGATTTCACTGAGTTCAGTCTTTGTTGATTACTAAGTGTGGGACCTGGAGTATGGTTCTTGAACAGCTATATCTCAATTTCTTCATCTGTAATGTTGGGATGGCAACAGTGCCCACACTCATAGGACTGTAGGCCACATTTCATGACACAGTATTTATAACATTCCTAGAACATTGCCTGGCCTTCATAAGCATTGAATAAACACTAATTTTCTCAATATAGTAAAAATAGCACAAGTAAAGTTCCAGCCGGAGTTGGTTCTAAGGATGGTGAAGGTCATTATAGAACACAGTCTGTTGAAGTAAGTTACACAAAATAGGGAGAAGGCAGAATTTGATCAGGTTGGAAGCCTATTAAGAGTGCTGCCTATGTGACCAGCTTGGTACAAAAAGGAGATTCAAAGTGCTCTTTACAGTCACAGCTGTGTCAATTGGTATTGAGTCAAAAACAAGAAAGCAGATAAGATAGATGAGAGTCTGGAAGAAGGTGCAGGAAAGCCAAACTCAAGACAGGGAAAGAAGCTGGGCATGGTGACACACCTGTAATCCCAGAATTCAGGGGTGCTGAGGTAGGAGGATCATAAGCTTGTGCCCACTCTAGGCAATTTAGTAACTTAGTAAAGCCTTGTCTTAAAACAGGAAGGGAACAAAGAGGAAGGAAGGAAAGGGAAGGGAAGGAAAAGGAATTAGGGATGGAGGGGAGAAAGATGGAAGGAAAAAAAAAAGGAAGAGGGGGGCCAAAAAAACAAAACAAAGAAACAAAAAAGATGGGGAAAGACAAGCAAAAGAGCTACTCCAATGATAACTTTCCAGCACCATACTTGCCTTCTATCTCTGCTAGATAAAATTTAGATGCAGATGACAATTTTCAGGTAGCCCAAGAGCATGCTGCCACCTCCCCAAATTTACCAGCCCTGAGAGGATGCTCACTTGCCTGCCCAAGCGCCAGACATTTGCAAACTGTTCCTAAAGACAAATCCTTTCCAAAGCCCCACTCTAAAACTGATCCACCTCTTAGGAGGTGAGGCCAGGACTCGTCACTGAATGAGTGTCATTGTCTTCCCTAGTGTCTGTGGGTCCAGATGCGTGGGTCTGGAGGTGGTTCCACCACAGCCTGTGGTGTGGTCTGCCTGTAAGCTTTGACTCACTCTAGGGATAACACTCAGAAATTCAAATAGGTAACACATGTGATTCCAGGTGTTCCTGCCAGACTCATGCTTGAATTTTCCATCATTTCATTCTCCTCTCCCTAGGGAGGGAGGCTCCTTGAGCATTTTGCATTTGAAAAATCAAAACCAACAGGACCAGCACCTGATAAGGAGCAGGGTATTGCTCAAGAGTTCCCAAGAAGAGATGTCTTTGTTCTCCTTTCAAGCTCTTGACACTGCTAATGGCTCTAATTACTGCACTGCCATGGGATGTAAAATAAAACCACATTCCAGAAACCATGTAAGTCTCTTTCGGAGAGATACACAGGGAGAAGTGCCCAGGATGATAGGAACGTGTTCTCTCATTTCTGGTCCCTAAGTTTGGCAGCTATCATAAGAATTTAACAGTACCTTCTTTATGTGCATAGAGAAGGGTTCTTTTGCACATGCAGAGATGCATCTCACTACCTGTAGCCACAAATTTGGTCTGCATATTTGACACTTCATACAAAGCATGTTTCTTAAGAACATTAGGATTTAAAAAAAAAAAAAAAAAAAAAAAAGAACATTAGGATTTTTACCCAAGCCACTCTGGTGAAAGTGAGGACTTCAGAAGTTCCTAAGGCTACGTACAACACAACAGAACTTTCTACATAATTTAATTATAAAATCTGATGATGTAACACCCACCCACATCCACATCACAAACCAAAGTGACATCACAAATACTAGAGATAATGGCTCAAAACTGCCTACATATGAGCAATTTATCTATACATGACTTAGGCAGAGAAAGACAGGTGACTAGAAATATTAAAACAAAACAAAAAGAGAAAAGAAATACATATTTCTTTCCCCTACTAAGCTAGCTAAAATAAAATTTAAAGCAACTGAAATATGGTAAGGTGATTTTATTTTTACTTTTTTGTACTGGGAATTGAACTCAGGACCTTGCATTTGCCAGGCAGGTACTTTGCTGCTGAGCTGTATCCTTGGCCTTGGTGATTTTATTTTTTATAGATGAAATTTCTTAGCCAGGTCTCTTTTAAGTATGTGATTGTAATCTATTCAAATTGTTTTCTTGTTCTTGGCTAGTCTCAGGAAGTGGAGACAAGTATAATTTAGGCTGTACTTGTGCCTTTATGCAATATTCTTCTCTTTAGTGGCTTTTCTTGGCTTACAGCAGTATGGTTGGAAGGTGTCTCCAGGGTTTGGCAGGATTTACCTGCTGTCATTTCTATTTGCAGTGTAAATGAGTTGTGGCTACAGTTTATATAGGAATTTTTGGTGACCCTCCTTCCTATTTCTTTCTGGCTACAGATTCCCTTATTCTTCCAGCAGACAGAAATTGTCTTGTATTCCTAGTAAACCTTCTCTTGCCCGACTTCCTACCTCAGCATGTTATGTTCTTCAAGAGTTTAAATATCACAATCTCGTAAAGTTTCTCTTTCTTATTTGATATAAAAGGGGAGAGGTGTAGCAAAATTTTAAAAGATCTATGTGGAAAGAACATCTCTAAAAAGATGTTAATATTTATACTTATGCTAATAATAGAATTAAAAGTAGATTTGCTAGTCTCTGCTTAAGAACTGCTTGTTTTATTCCTCCCTTGCTCCCCATAATCCTAGCATCGATCCTATGTGGGAAGTGGCTCCAGCATGGCAACCTATGGACTTCGACAGTCTATTTTACTGAATACCAGGCTCCAGGACTGTTATGTTCTCTCTCCAGCTCTCACCAACATCTGGATGGCTAGAATGTGTGCAAAGCAGAACATTCAGGCCCCAACGTCAGGTACTGCCTCTTGTTGGGAAGTGGTAAAGAGTCCATTAATCACCAGCTCATTCTCCCTGGTTAAACTTGTGCTCAGAAGGCAACTGAAAGATAAATGCTGCTCAGTACCTTCCAGGTTTGGAGAAGCAAAATCCTTGAAGAGATTAAGATCTACAGACAATTCAACAACAAAAGCCACCCCGCTGGCTAGGATAAGCAGCTCCATTAATTTCAAGAGCAGGCGGCAGGTGGGGCAGGTGCCAGGTTCACCTGGGCACAGGAGGCCAGCAGGAAGCATCAGAAAGGTAGGCAATGGCCAGTAGTGGAGCTTATTTGATGGGGAGAGGAAAAAGGTAAAGCTAGTGAGCACTTAACATCTAAGAGAAGTACAAGTGAAAAAAATCCTGAAGTTGAAGATAGGGCTGGGATGGGGGGGGGGGTGCCAATGATGGAGCACAGAAAGTACCGGAGAGCTGGAGTCATGCTATTTATTATAAAGAAGAGTGAAAGGGCTTCCTAAACACAAACAAAAGGAATTTGACAGAGAAGGAAATTAAGGGTGAGAAGGCAGGCCAGGCTATGGGTAGCGTGTCTTTGCACACATATACACATCCGAGGTAAGCCATAGTTTCCACACAGACAGCTAGCTTGGCTGATCTGAGTGAAGGCCAGCAGAATGTCTTGGAGTTAAGAGTTCAAGTCCCAACTCTGGCTATAACTGAGGATGACTTTGGGCTAATCTCTTTGTGTCTTGATTTTATCATATAAAATGGCCTTTCCCTCAGAAGGCTCCATAATTAAATGAGTTGCTACATGCAAATGGCTGTTGAACAGACCCTGGCACCAAATAAATAATTAGGATCCAGACTGGCATTAAGCAGATGACAGCTGTGGTTAACAATCTTCTAGCTTTGTGGGCTTGAGCAAACCAATTTCCTTGCCTTTAAAGTTATCTCTTACTGACCTTAACAGTCTACAGGGAATACACACAGCAGTGTACATAAAGGAATTCAGAAAACTAGAACACGCTAGACAAATGTTGGTTGTTGCTATAACCAAGACTTTGAGATACAAATCCCAGATAATTATTCTGAGCTCCCTTCTCAAGTTTTGGGTTTGACATCTCTGCTTTCTTCCTGGCTAGCGCAAAGAAAGTTCAAAGGAGAAAAAAGTAACTGCCAGCCAAGATCTTGAGGACAGATATGACAAACATGTGGCTGCCACCCAACCACTACCCCGGGACAGTGAGTTGACAGCCTGGAAGGGGCAAGCATCACTTCCTGAAACCCAAAAGAGACAGCAGCTGTCAGAGGATGCTCTAACCATCCACGGCCTCCCTACAGAGGGTTACAAGGCTCTATACCATGCTGTGGTGGAGCCAATGCTGTGGAACCCTTCAGGAACCCCCAAGAGGTACAACTTGGAGCTGGGCAAGGCCATCAAACAAAAGCTTTGGGAAGCTCTGCGCAGTCAAGCTGCCACCCTCAAAGTTGCTCAGAAGGACCTCTAGCCAGGAGGGAAGTGGCTGGGTGAGGGTCCTGTGCCCAAGAAACAGCCCAAATTAAAATGAAAAACAAGAACAGGAACACATGAGTTTAGGATAGTCTCTGCTAGATGTCTGAAAAATAAGTACAGTTTTGCACCTTCCATGCAATCTCAAGACTGTTTTTCAAGGAAGACAAAACAGTTATTAAATTGCTCAAGACTGAGGTCTATTTCCATACAGTTTTGGTAATTTACATATGACAGAGATAGGGTCCTACCATACTGACAAGGCTGATCTCAATGATCCTCTTGCCTCAGCCTTCTGTAGCTGGGACACAGACTTGCACCACTATGCCTGGCAAATGATTCACTAATTTCGAGTTGTATGTTTGGAAGTTTCTTTTTTTTTTTTTAAACCTACAGGGCCTGTGGATTTTTGTTTTCAGACAGGAAAAGGCCTGGAAGATGAGTTTATATCCAATCTGTCTTCCTTATTTCAAGAAAGTGGACCACTAGGCTTTTGCTGTTTTTAGAGCAGGGGTCTTACTAAATTGCACAGGCTGGTTTTAACTCCAGATTCTCCTGCCTCAGCTTGTCAAGTGCTGATTATAGGTGTATTATTACCCCAGCAAAACTCCTGACCATTGTTACTGTACTACTTTTCCTAGTTTCCTCCATATGCTCTAAGCAGAGTTGGGTGTGGCAGTGCATGCCTGTAATCCCAGCGCCTGGAAGGCTGAGGCAGGAAATTTGCTGTGAGTTTGAGGCCAGCCTGGGCTATATGGCAAGTTTAATAAGGCCAGCAAGAGCCTATCTCAAAAAATAAAATGCAAAAAACCAAAAAAACATATGCACTAAGCAGAAAGTCTATCAACATTGCAAGGATTTAAGCTCCCCATTTTTAGCAAATGTTCTCCCATGACACCGCAGAACTTCCCAAAGCTTAGACTGTGTTGACAGGAGAGGAAAGTGATAAGGATACTTTCAAGTGTAAACTGAAGTTCAAAGCATTGGCTAGGTGCAGTGGTGCATGCCTGTAATCTCAGCACTGTGTGAGACTGAAGCAGGAGGACACATAAAATTAAAGGCTAATCTGGGCAACTTTAGAGACCTAGTCCTGATCAAAACAAAATGAAACGAAAAAAGGGTGGTGGTGGGGATGCAGTTCAGTACAAAGACTCTGGGTTCAATTCCCAGGACTGGAAAAACAACAACAACCATTAACCAAAAACAAAAAACTCCCCAAAACAAAAAAACAACAACAAAAAAATCACCACTGGTTCATACAAACCTCTTCCTTGTAGAATCTGAAGACCTTGACAGAATAGAACAATGACAACATATAACACATACTTGATAAAATTGTATTTTCTTTACAGTCATTTGTACAATTTGTTACAAAACGATAGAAGACTACAACTTGTTTTAAATCATTTTTGGTCTGTAAATATGTAAAATCTGTGTGCAATTATCATGTATTTACAGGGCCTTGTGTTAGTCATTTTCAATGATTATTCCAACAATGTCACACTCTCAACATAAGACATGGCTTAAGATAAATATATTAGTAAATAAATATTCTGAGAACATATTTCCATAAATGAAATGTGCTGCTATACATATACAGAATATACATAGTTTTCTAGCTTTTAAAACATTTTTAAAAAATGGTAATGTTGGAAAAGGAGCCCTTAGACCATTTTGTTACAAAATCTCTACAGCAAATCTTTATAAAATATTTTAAGTGCTATGGGAGAAATTTTAAAGAAATTTAAATAGTGCCGTGTTAAACCAACACAAGAGAGTTTACATAAATAGGAAAAGGCAGCTCTGTTGAAAAGACAATACTCTTGATTAGCAGTTATTTTTTAGACTTCATTTTGAAAGCATGAACTTTGAGACCTGAAGGATGTAGGAAAGAGTCTGAGCAGTAGGACAACAGATGGAACTTAATAAAGTAGTTTGGGCTTGGAGCAGGAAAGTTAAAGCCAGCTTACTGAGTTTGTGTCCACAGAGGTACCTTGGAGGTCAGAATGCCCACACTTCCACGTTCAGCTGGTTCTAGAACTCCAGTTTACATGGCTGTCTTATACCCAGGACAAGGGCACAAGACCATGCCCTATCGTCACCTCCCCATTTGGGGGACAGAGTGGTACTCAGTGGAAAGTGAGATGCTGTTTCCCTGGCTATACAACTACCACACAGCACAAAGGTGCTTGTTATCATAATTGGAGCCTTCGAACTTCAAAGACAGTTCATTTGATTAAAATATGATGCAATAAGATAGTTGGTTATTTTACTTGTGACCTTGTTTGATGAGCCAATTCAAATTTGAAAGATGCTTGATTTTTAAATTTTTCATTTTTGCTGCTTCCATTGTAAAGTACAAAAATTAAATGTGCTTCTTATTATTGTCTACAATTAACAGTCTTTCAAACGAAAACTAACACATTTATTTTAACAAGTCCATTGGCAGTAAATTCTCTCATCTATTTACTGCTTAAAGTTATTCAGGAGTGGTTTTCTAGCCAGGGCTAAAGAAAGCTGCTTTAGGAGTAGGGTTTCAAAAAAGGAAGATAATACACACTCTGGCACTAAAAACAAAAAAGCAAAACCACAAACAACAAAAAACTCAACAATGAGAAGTTGCTTTTTGCAGCTCATGTTAAAAGTCATGATCCACTCCCCTCCCTAAAACCATGTAATGCAAGCTGTTGTTCTTAGCAGCTGCCACTCCTGGCCCCAGAAATAAAGGCGGCCCTGATCTCATGTCAACCACTTAGGAGCTTCTCACACCCTTACCAACAGGTGTGCTGGGCACAGCCCAGGGGAGCAACCCCCCAAGGAAGTGTACCCTAAGAGGCTGTAGGATAAATCTCACCACTCTTGAGTTCCTAAATAGCAAATGGCTTGGATCAACAATGGCTTGACGTTAGGATTTCTGTTAAATCCTGGCTAGGAATAATTTCCTCATAATAGGTTGGGGCCTTGAAAGTATTCTGAGATCATGAGACTTTTATTCAAAATGTTCCAGTCTGGACCCTGGGCTGACTTCCTGAGTGCACCACTGGAGAGGGGTCAATAAGTCTTCTGATACCCCAAGATGACCCCTATTTCCACCTACAGAAACCAGGTCCCAAGGTTCCGATTCTCAAATGAGCTTTTAGATACTCAATGGGCCATACTCTTTCAGATGGCAACAGCTATCTGCTACAGGGGAAAAAAAAAGTGATCAGAAGAATTAGTGAACACAAGGGGCTAACGTGACTAGTTTCCTCTAAGAGGGAGGGAATTAAGAACAAGAAGGCATACACTGGACAAAAAGGATGACAATCCCTGATCTGTAGTTTTTCTTGGTACTGGGACTTGAACTCAGGACCTTGAGCTTATGAGGCAGGTGCTTATGCCACTGAGCTATATCCCCAGTGAAGTAGTTTTAAGTAGTCTCTCCCTTTTAAACATGAAACACCTCTTAAAAAATGGTTTGGGTTTTAAAAACTCTCCCTACCCTTAAAAAAACAAACGCTGGAAAAATATACAAAAACCTACCCTTTGGGTCTAAACTACCTGATAATCTGTCTCATGGAGAATCAATATATAGTAGTGCATTATTAGGGAGATAGATAGTAGACATCTGTAGGTGAGATGAGCAATTTCAGCCATGAGACAGAAGGCTGAATAACCCTGAAGTGGGGCTTCTGTGGGGAAATGGGCTGGGAGAAGTATTCAAAGGGAACTCAGGGCACCCTTTCCCCATGGGGTCTGAACCCCTACCCCAAGGAAACAGCAGCCAAAGGTGCTTGGCTTCTCCCTCTACAGAGGATGTGCACAACGGTGCCCTTCTCCAAACGGTAGTGTGCTGTGGGTACTCAGAGCAATCTCCCCCAGCCCCATCAGATACCAAGGCCACAAACACTACATTCCTTCTGGGTGTTTGCCCATACTCCCTGTTTCAACTATTTCTGCAGCCAGTGGTAGGAAGTTCAAAATATATTTCCAAAGGAATCTAAAGTCAAAAACAGAGGCAGAGCTTTCTCTTCTCTGCCCCAGGAGTTACAGTTCAGGTCAAGGACCTCAAGAACACTGCCCTATTATGATCTGGGCCTCTGCCAAGATCAGGCTGTGAACTTTTGTTTGGGATAACCCAAAGGGACAGACTGAGGATACTGGGCAGAACTGTCTTTGTCATGCTGAGGCTTGTGCAGCAATGGTTTGATCCAGCTCTCCAGTGCTATAGACTTTCTGGCCTATTCCCAGCCATTTCCATCACCTGTTCTAAAGGTGTAGGCTGAAGAGGCATGGCTTCCAAGAAGACCTGACATTGTGTACATTTGGATTTGCCATGAGAAAGACACAGCTTTGCATTGTTCCTCAGAGTTTGTACCCATAGTAAATAGCTTTACTTCAAGTTTCTGATTCATTTTCTAAGGCAGGAATAGCCCTGAGCTTTTGAAAGGCCTGAGCTCCCTCCAGGGAGACAACAGTATCTACACATGATGCGGTTCATTTAATGCAGCAGTGATTTTTTTTTTTCTTTTTCAGCAAAAGTTGGTGGTTAAGTTCTTTAAAATATATATTTAAATAACTTTTTACATCTACATATATCTTTAAAAAAAGACAAAGCAGAGAACTCAATCCCACACACCTTGTAATCCCAAGCACACACTTTACAAAATAGAATAACATGTTATCAAAAGAGGTGAAGGACTCAGAATTTTGTCTGTTGGTTTGTTAATGGGAGAGGAGACTTTTGCCACAGGTGGCTCACATTTTGGGTTGAACGGAGGGCTCTCTTTATTACCACTTTTACGTGTTTGTCAAAGCTAAAAATCTTTTTTTTTCCTTTTTCTTTTTTTTTTGCAGTAAGTCAGAGTCCAACAGTTCCCAACTTTCAGTAAGAGTTCCTTCTGAGCTCAGGCTCCCATGCCGCTGCCTTCTGCTGGGCAAGATCCTGGTCCTGGGAGACAGAGGGAGAACAATCATCAGGGGAGAAAGATGGCACTGCAGGCGTTGGGCACAATGCATAGCAGCCAGACAAGGGACTCTACTATCCCTATTCTCTGTGTACACTAAACAGGCCCTAATAGTGATAGCTTGCAGTAGGGGGTGCATTGTGTCCATGATCAAAGGCTGAAGCAGGCCTCTTTTTCCAAGAGGGGCTCAGTCTGTGCTAAGAAACCATCTGCTGGGGGCCAGCCCCTCTTATCTGGATATACAGAACTTTCTGGAAGTCCTTAAAAGGCATAAAATCATAGCATACAAAAAGTGATCTTAAAGGAGTGTCCAGTGTGTGTCAGGCACACCTGCAGGTATTGCAAACAGCAAGGAAGGCTCCCCTCGCAGTGTACAGATCTCCCCACAAAGTCATTCCAGTGAGGGATCTTGGCTAGGGGTTGAGGGTCACTCAGATCTGGAGGACTGACCTGAAGGAGAGGTGTAGAGGCTCGGATGAGCTTGGCATCATAGTGGATTGGGGAGAGGCTGCAGGGGGCTAGAGTACAGAACAGGCACTGGTTACATGTGTAGGCAAGGGATCACATAGAGCTGGGTTAGTTTGTTTTTTTGAGACAGTGTCTCCCTATGTATTTCAGGCTGGACTTGAACTCACTATGTAGCTCAGGCTGTTTTTGAACTCATAGCAAACCTCATGCTTTAGCCTCCCAAGTACTGGGATTACAGTATGTACCACCACATATGGCTTTAGTTCACATTTTAAAGATCCTAGATAATGACAAGTCATTAAAGAGTTGTGTAGTGTAAAGACATCATTTTTTGTTTTAAAAAAGGCCACTCTGAGAGGCTGGGGATTTAGCTCAGTGGCTTAAGCACTTGCCTGGTAAGTGTGAGGTTGTGAGTTCAATTCCTGGTACAAAAAAAAAAAAAAAAAGAAAGAAAGAAAGAAAGAAAAGGAAAGAAAAAGAAAAAGGCCACTGCATCGAAAGATAAGGCAAGCCCTATGACAGGAGACTACCTTTGCCTTTGCCTAGAAAGGAATGGGGATGGAATGAGACGACTGAGGGGGTGGTGTGCAGAAAAGCTGATGTATCTGAGATATGCTTTAGGACATGAGTGCTGCAATGGACATAACAGGGCAGGATGCATGTGAGGTGTGCTTGGTAGAGACTGAAGAGATCATGGAAAAAGGTTCAGTGGATATGAAACAGAGGAAAAGTGGAGATGATATTATTATCATATACAGATGGTGTTTGATACCAAGGGCATGAGAAGGGCCTTCCCATGGAAATGCCTGCTCTTACCTGCAGCCTCAGCACCTGGGGCGTTGGACTTCTGAGTGTCTGGCGGGTCACTGGGGAGATTGGACCTGGTGGCACCTGCCTCCTCTGGAGGACAATCAGGCTGCAGTGGCACATCAGCCTGGTAGAATGGAGCCTGCTCCTCTTCCTGGGCTGTCCCCAACCCCCTGGGGGGCCGCAGGGCATTCAGACCCAGTGTCCCACCCCAGGGGCTGAGGCTATGAGTCCCTAGGCAGCCTAGGGGTAGGCCCAAGTCACAGTCCACATCCTCTGGAATGATGGGGATGCGCTGGTTCAGGTCCTGGGCCCCTGGGTAGCAGCTAGGTGGGGGCTCCTCAGCAAGTGTGTACTGCACGGTCACCGAGTAATCCTCAGTATAGCAGCCGCTACCCCCTCCACCACCATGGGCCACTTGTTTCTCTTCATAGAAGCAGCAAGGCAGGCCCTCATATTTCACCCCATCTATCCTGGGCAAATGGTCTGGGTGAAGACCAGACAGGCTCTGGGAGCTTCCTGGCTGTAGCTCCCCTCCAGTGTGGCTGCAGCCCTCATGAAGGGGGGCACTCAGGAACAAAGTACTGCAACTGCCAGGTGCTCCTACTCCAGGCCCCAGTGCAAAGGGCTGAGGCTCACAGCAGCAGACACATGATGGCCCCTCTCGGGCCCCCTTCCAGGTCCTCCTGAGGTCCAGGGCAGCCCCGGAAGAAGCCTCAAGCCCCACGTCTGAGGTACAGCTAGCAGGCCCCCTGTGCTCCAGGGAGGAATTACTGCTATAGTTCATCTCCAGGCTACAGGTGGACAACTGGTCCCCGGAGGGAGAGGCAGGGCCTGGCCATGGCTCTCCCTTTCCAGCACCATGACTATGTGCTGCCAGGAGCTCCTCGGGTGGTAGGGAGCCCTCAAGGCACACAGCAGGCCCTCTGTTTGAGCTGCCTGAAGCCCCTGTCTCGCTGGTATGACAAGGACTCCGGCTGCGGTAGATAAAAGGGTCATAGTCACTGCTGAGAGAACTGCGGAAAGTGGAGCAGCTCCCATACACGCCCTGGTTGCTGACCTCAGTGCAGTCCACCACAGAGTCACTGGAGGAACAGTGGCACTGGCCAGAACTGCTGCTGCTGTCACTACCCGGGCAGTCGGCTAGGTAACCACTGCACATGGAGCGGTGGCCATGGTAACAGCTGAAGCTAGACATGCTGCCACTCTCCAGGTGGGAGGGTGGGGCCATGTGTACCACAGTGGGAAAGAGAAGGCTGCTGCCCCCACTGGATGGGAAGGCACGGGACGGGCCTCTGGGTGGGAGGGTAGGCGGGGGTGGGCCCTCCTGCTCCGGGTAGCTGAGGCCCTGGAAGTAGTAGTGTTGATACATGGTCTCATACTGGGAGAAGCAAGTTGCCTTGGAGAAGCTGCGGCTGCTGTATTTGGGCCTGCGGAAGCCGTGGGCTGGTGAGTATGCTCGATGCTCGAGGCTGCAGCGATGAGCAGCCAGGGTGTGGTCCAGGTGTAGGGGTGGGTAGCCACTAATATAGGTGGGGGTCTGTGGAGAATAAAGGCTCTGCTCCCCATGCTGGTCCATGGATAGCAGTGTAACGGGGTTTCCGTGGGAGTCCATGGTTGTCCTTGTGGGGTAGGCTGGGATGGCGTTGGTCCTGTGCACACGACCAGGATAATGTATTGGTAAAGTCACCCTCTGCTGCCGACCACGTGCAAGGTTGCTCGTTTCCACATACATGGCACCTGGGCTTCCCTTTTGTTCTGGGGAGAGGTAGAGGAAACAAGCATATTGGTGCCAAGATCTGGAGGCATGAAAAAAGGCTATATGCCAAGGTGCCTATTCTTACCATCCTACCACATTCTAAGCTGTCATCAAGGTCAGTTAGGCTGGCAAACGGACAACATGCCTCTATGAAAGGTGGTCATTTCTGCAAGAGCCCGTTTTTCATCTACCCACTGCTCTGGCTGATAAGGGTACCAAGAGGGATGACAGTGCCTCCTGCACTGCCCCATAACACAGAAGCAATATCTTACATCTGTCACAGTACATCTATCATCTGTTATGATCACTGGGAACAAGCCTACGATCTGGATATGAGCAGGTTATCATTACTGTCATCCCACAAATGAAATTGGAGGCTTCAGGCATGGAGAGGTAGGGAAGGGTCACCTACCTGTTTAATATAAAGCCTGAACTTGAGCTAAGGCGCTTCTTTTTCTTTCTAGATAGTGTGAGGAATAAAACCCAAAGCCTTAACACGCTCCCCCCACCTCAAAAATACTCAAGGCCTTGAGTATGCTTAGGCACATGCTAAACTATACTCCAAGGCCCCTTAGAGTGGTTCTTAATGTCAAGCTCTTCTCAGTGTTGTTCAGCCAACTTACATGGCCACCATGCCTCGAAGAAGGCAATGTTGTGGTGGTTTTGCAAGCTCCTGAGCCCACGGTATGTCACATACTTGTTAGACACGTCGTAAGGACAGTGCGTAAGGACAGTGTCCTCTGATGTAACTTTTCAGCAATGACTGAGACAAGTGACATTTACCTATGATGTTGTGCCGACAGTGGGGACAGGTGTGGTGCTGCAACAGCCATGGATCAACGCATTTCCTGTGGAACCGGTGAGTACAGGGGATAATTCGAAGCTCCTTGGGAAGAGGGAGAGAGGACAGAGCCTGAAGGGAGGGCACAGGGGCAGAACAGGGCAGTTCTGCCTTGAGCCCCATACCTGCTTCCTCCTGCAGAGCCCAACATGTACTGAGGAGTCCTGTTCACTGTACTGGTGACTTCCTGTTACAGTTTGGATCTTAAGTATTCCTCAAAGGCCCAGATGTTTAAAAGCTTGGTACCCATCCTGGCACTACTGAGAGGTCGCTGGCCCCTGAGGGGGTTTGGAGGCCCCAAACTCCTCTTTCCCTTTTTCATGATCTGGCTGAGAAGTAAAAGGTTTTTCTCTACCATGTGCTTCTGCCATGATGTGGTGCCTCACCATAGGCCCAAAGCAATAGGGCCAAATGATCATCATCTTAAACCTCTAAAACAGTAAGCTGAAATAAGCCTTTTCTAAGTTATTTCAGGCATTTGTTATAGTAATGGAAAGCTGACTAACATACTTCTCACTCTCTTCCCCATTTCCAGTTATAGGTCAACTCCATTTCCTGAGGCAAAGCTCACAGACAGTTTCTATGGAGAAGAAAATTGTCTGCCATATCCCTCAGTGTTAAAAGAAGTGGGAACAGCACATGTAGCTCCCTTTGAGTTGGGAGGATACACATTTATTCATGTCTTCATATAGAAAAACTAAAGCCTTGTACTAATGATATGAAGCCTAGGAACTATGAACAGAGAGAGCTAGGAATATCCCACGATATTATTCATGTCTTCAAGTGGGATTAGGGTTTGCCTCCAAATTGTGCTAATGGAGACAAGTAGAAAAAAAGATGTCTGAAACTTGCGGCAGAAGGGTAAATTCTCCAATCCCTTCTGTCACTGGACCATACAGAGCAAATGCAATGGATTTTTCTGTGGCAGAACTTCCTATGGAGTTCCCAAGCCTGAGCATCCTCCAAGTTTCCTAATTTCACTTTATCTTTTCATTTTCTGACCAGTCCCACACATAGTAACATTCAAATTAATATCTAATAATGTGCCCGATATGATGCCAAGAGGTCTACCTCCAATTTCTCCATAAGCTTCATGATCACCCGGGAGGGTAGTCAGTGTCAAGCCCATGTCACAAGTACAGACACTGAGAATGAAGACATTTTTCTATGTTCACAAGGTTAAGACTCCACCTGGGCCAGGGTTAGAGCTGAGGAAGTCTATCCCATGGCTCATGCAAGAAGTTATTATTCCAGATGCTTCTGTAAAAACTTACATTCATTCAACAGTTTAAAAGCAATGGAATAGTTTTATCAAAGGCACATCAAACGCCTAAAATTCTCAAGTGGTTTGCTCCTTGGTCCCCAAAACTGTGGATGTACCTATTCAGATAGAGATTTTCAGGTACCAACCAAAATATTGCCAATAAGTGATTATGATAAATAATCTATGCGGTTCATGGTCCTATTCTTGCAATTTTTCTGAAGGATTGAAACTTTCCAAATAAACAGTATTGGGGGAAATCAAATCTCTTGTAAGTAAAATCTTTGCAAGTAAAATATACCAATTACTAGTTACTAGAGTTTTCAGAAGAACAATTCAAAAACAATTAACAAGTGCGAATGATCTTAAAACCAGACATTTCCTGACATACATTTCCAGTCAAACTTTTGCTTTTTTTTTTTTTTTTTTTTTGTCTTTTTCCTCTTTATTGGTACCGGGGATTGAACTCACGACTGCTTGCTTGCAAGGCAGGCGCTTATGCCGCTGAGCTAAATCCCCAGCCCCTCCAGTCCAACTTTTGAAGTCACCTACATTTAGTGTAATCCTCTAGAAAGTGTTGTGGTCCTCACCACAATCTCAGGAGAAATAATGATAACATCACAGGTCATCCACTATCACGTGCAGTTGTCCTTGTATGCTGCTGCAAGGCTATGGGAAAAGACTAGTTCTGGGAGCTTCTGTTAGTCTGCCTTCTGTCTCCCCTCCCACATCAGGTTCTGCGCCTGCCACTACCTCTCCATCGGTGTACTTCTCCAGGCAGATGGCACAGTCAGATGTGGAACTGCTGCTGAGGGTATCCAGGGCCCCACAGCTCCCCTCTCGGCGCCCCTTACTCTTTGAGTTGAACTTTCTGGTTTCCATCTTCTCTAGAGCCTGCACAGCCAGCCTGTTCATGGAATTCTGCATGACAGAACATGGTCAGTATTAGAATCTGGTACACATAAACAGTAGTGATCAACCCAAGTGCCATGACACTTAATGAGCTGGGACAAATACTAAGCTCCATCCAGCCACAACAGACTTCTGAGACATCACTCTGAGATATCAGACTGCCACAGTATGTATTTTCCAGACCTCTGGAGTGCCCATGACATCAGTCTAGGCTTTCCTCAAGTGGTCTTGCCTTCAAAATGAAGGCAGAAATTTCCTTCTATTACTTAACCCTACTGCTTCCCAATTCTGTAAGACCTTGCTCTCCACTAAAGGTTCATCCTAGATGTTGAAAGAAGCTGTGAGGGTAAATGAGACAACGCATGTGACCTTAGCCACAGGCATACAGGATGTAGTGGATAAACACTGGTCCCTGTTCTGTGGGGGTGGCCTTTCAAGCCTCATGAGAACTTAAGCATTTTTCCTCTTGCAAGACCACTACCATGTGCAACACTATCTCTCTCCTAAGATGTCACTATACCACACATCTCAGAGTTCTGCTTCCTGTTCCTCCTTACTATATTCTGCTCCCAAATCTTTCTTACAAGTACACAGTGATGTGCTGATTGGAGCATTTCTGTGGCTACTCTGTTTATCCAGAATCACTCAGGGGGCTTATCAGATGCAGACTGGATTTAGCACATTGGTGCAGGGCCTGAGACTCTGCATTTATACTCAGCTCAAGTGCTACTGATGCCCAGGGCTGTCTGAGAAGCAAGACAACAAAGCCTACTGGAACATTTATGTAAATATTTATTCTGATAAAGTATCAATAATTAAGGGCTTTTATAGGCCTGGCCTTCTGAAACACTGAAGACAGTGGAAGACTAGTTGGACACTCAGACCTACATACAGTGGGTTGACCAGACAGACTCCTGACTTTCACCAGCAACAAGGAAACCAGGTCAACATTCTGGAATTGCTTTAGGGATTACCTGACGTCGCTGATTCAGCTTGATTCTGACAAGAAAGATGAGGGAAGCTAAGGAGACAAGCACAAAGAAAGCCAGGAACATGCCCATGTCGAAGTACTCGATGGGTTGCTAGAACAGAACACAAACACAGTTAATCTCAGCCACTCTTCATCTTGGTAATGGGCACACATGGGCTGTTGGCCCTAGTTGGGACAAGGATTGGCAGAGTGAGGCAAGAATCCCCTCAGTATGCAGCAAACTCCTAGAACTCAGCTCACATAAACACAACATGTTCTCTGGGCCCGGGTAGTGCTCTGGTCTGCTAGGGTTGCCCTGCAGTGCTTTCAGCTAGACCTCCCAATAGTCAAGAGAATTCTATTCAGAAAGCCTAGTTGCAGGCTTGGTGGTGAATGCCTATAATCCCAGCACTCGGGAAGCTGAGGCAGGAGGACTGTTATGAATTTTGAGGCTAGCTATGGCTATATACCAAGTTCAAGGCTAGCCTGACCTGCATAGTGAGACACTGCAAAAACAAAACAAAAAACCAAACCAAACCAACCAGCCTGGACACCCATGGAATAACACAAAGTTTGTTGTAACCAGTAGGAAAGGCCTTTCCAAATAAACACAAATAATCACATTTATAGGACAAAGGAGTAAGTGCCATGTTTTGAGAGAACAGTGATTACTAACCATGTAATTAACGGTTTAAAACAACTCAGAAAATTGTGTGCTGCTTCCATAAAAACAACTTCTACTACAATGAATCATACTTACCAAAGTGGTTTTTCTTCCTTTAAAAACAGTCCAGCAAGTCAGTTCTACAAACTCCCCCTCCAGTTTTAGTTCCTGCCTTTTCCCTCACATCACACTAGCACAGTGCTTCTTCCCACAGCCTGAAGCTGCCTCATCTGAGACACTCATTTAGTCAACAGGAACAGAGATTTGCTAATGGGATGCTCTGTGCATTCAGACACTTAGCACATGTGAAAGAACCATTCTACATGTGAGCATTCCACTATTTGGGAGGGGGAAACAACTCTAGGAATATGGGGCACCAGCTCTAGGTTCCTGGAATCTTTCAATATGAGGTTGGGGAGAAGATGACAGGCATGTGTTAATGGCCCGAAGTGTCCCTTCAACACACTGAAGAGAAGCTTAAGTACTATTGTCAGCCATGAAAGTCAATCCCAGTTGAAAGCTAACTTTTCCACACTCAACCATGAGTTGGGCTGTCTTGATAAAGTAATTTGCCCTCTAGGAAGAAGGGTATAGTTTCCTCTAGTGCCTAGGGCAAATAGAGGGATGGGGCATGGGAAACCAAATGATGAGTCTACTCCTTCAGTTTTCCTCAGTGTGCCTCTCAGGGGGACACAGGGCAGGAGGACACATGAAAGGCTACCAAGAAGAAAGCCAGGTGGAAGAGACCAGACTGACTTCTTAGCACAAATCATCTATTTCTGAAACATCAAATTTTCAATGGAATATAGGTGAAATTTCTTCCTGGCTCCTGCCCTGTAGAACTCAACCTGCAGAAGAAACCTAGGGTACACTCATATTTCAGACAGAAAGAAAGCCCAAAGCCTGAAGGAATCATAGGCATAGACAGTGGTAGGGAAACTGCTGGGCATGGGCTGGCTAGCTTGGACACTCACTCGAGGAGGACGGTGCTGGATCCTTGCTCGAGCCACTTTCTGCTTGTTGACAATGTTCATCAACTTGATGGCATCTGCACCCTTCACATATACCACTGGTCTCTTGAGTGGATCTTCTGAGCCTTGGTTTAGCTGAAGAAGAGAGCGCTCTGGTGAAAAGATGTGTTAACTTTAAAAAGTAAGAGAGACAGTGGGCTGGGGATGTAGCTCAGTGGTGGAGTGCTTGTCCTGGGTGTGAAACCCCAGCACTGGAGGTGGGTGGGGGAAGGCAAGATAAAGAAAAGGGCTGAAGGAAAAGAACATCAAATCCCTGTCTGAAAACCTTTGAAGCCTGAGGGTTCCCAGAAGAGCAAGGATAAGTATAATATTCGTTGTAAAATAGGTTGGGCTGGCTGATACCTCAGTAGAGTCTTTGAAAATGTCTCCCAATCTCAACTCCCTGGCTCTTAACTCCCTTCGGGACAGCTCCCTTGGGTATAATGCCCAAACACAGACATCCTACTTCAGCAAACAAGAGCAAAGGCTCCAACGTGAAGGTGACATAGCCGTGGCCAGTCAAGCCAACTGAAGGAAGTGACTCTCTCAGGGAGACTGCAGGATTAGTATAGGTTTACCTGGTCAATGGCCTCTGGGTTTTCAGATACATCAAAGATGACTGCAGTAGCTCCCCGTTGCACTGCTCGCTTGGCCTAGAGGAGCGAAAAAGTTAGTAGGCAACTTTGGTCCTCTTACTTTCCTAACGGTGGCCTTAGGGAACAGGTCTGTGCTCAAACACAGACCTGACAGCAACAATCTTATGTGACTTTGTGCAAGTTACCCAACTTTCTTACACCTCAACTTTCTCATCTGTTTAAAAAAAAAAAAAAAAGAGGATAATGCCATCTACCTTGTATATTATCCAAGCAGGTGAGTTAGAGTAAGTAGAAGCAGATAATTCGTTATTCAATAAACCTTTGTCTCTCTAATCAGCCCAAATATTAAAAACAAACTATAGACAAATAAGCTTCCCAGTGAGCACAGAGTTAGTTTTAATATTTTTCTGCTATGAACAGAGCTTTTGGCAAGCAAAACAAATGCCTTTAGTTCATCTCTTGCGGTCCTTTCTTCCATTCCATGTTGTCTAGTTAGAATAACATGTTGACTATCTCTGAATGAACTTCAAAATGGCCAATTTTAGTAAGTGACACAAGTTGAAGACCTTTGGAAATGCGATGGGTAGGGGAGAACCTACAAGAAATAATTGTAAATGGGGATTTAGAACATTTGGCTGCCAAACCTGGCTGCACATCAAAAACCACTTGGGAAGTTTGTAAAAGCAGATTTCCTGGCTCAAACCACAGAGACTGATTCAGCAGGTCTGGAGTCAGGCCCAGGAAACTGAGTTCTATAAGTTTTCTAAAGAATCCAAATTATTCAACCATTTGCAGAACTATAGATCAGAGAGATGAGACTAGAAAGTTCAAAAACAAATGAGAAGTGACAAGGTTCTTTTTTTGAGGGGTGGGAAGCATGAGGAGGATTCCTTTCCTAATTAACCTTCTAATTTCATGTCCAGCTAAGTGAGCAACGGGGTAGAAGGTGTAGAAGAGTAAGACATAAGGCAATAAGATATAATTGCTTTTAGGAGGCTAAATCTTGTTTGGGAGATGATTCCACTACAATATGTAGGAAGAACAAACTCCAACACTGGAAAGCTATATGATGGGTAATGACGGCTTAGAGGTCAACAGAATCACTGTGAGTCCAAGTGCTTAAGAGTAAAATGTGATTTCTTTCCACAGGAATTGTCAGTTTACGGATGTGAGACAGCACCACAGCTAAGAACCTGGCTGGACCAATGACTCTCCTGGCCCACCAGAGGGCAGTCTCATCCCATAGCTTTTAAGCAACTCTGGCACATGATACCAAATACATAGGACCAAAACCAGCTTCAGGGACAGCACACACCTCAGCAGTTTAAGAAGCCCTTTATCTCAGGGTACTATGCTCAAGAATCTGTCCTTGAGCAATGGGTTCTTATTTTTTCAAATTGAGATCAAATGTATTTAAAGTCTCTGCCTATGGTGCCTCTCCACTGTTTTAGCTCAAAACTGAGTATGGAAATTAGCTTTCAACTGGGATTGACTGACAATAGTACTTAGGCTTCTCTTCAGTGTGTTGAAGGGACACTTCTGGCCATTAACACTTGCCTGTCATCTTCTCCCCAACCTCAAATTGAAGGATTCTAGAAACCTAGAGCTGGTGCCCCACATTCGTAGAGTTGTTTCTCTCTCCCAAATAGTGGAATACTCACATGTAGAATGGTTTTTTCATATGTGCTAAGTACCTGAACACACAGAGCATCCCATTAGCAAAGCTCTGTTTCTGCTGACTAAATGCATAGAGCCATTCCTGGACAAATTACTGAATTTCCTTATCTTTGCCTCAGTCTCTTCATCTATAAAAGGAGAATACCTATGGCATTATAACTGATGTCTCTTCCACTTTCTAGTCTTGGCTGTTCAACTGAGAATCCAGAGTACTGCAATCAACCTATCACCTCTCTCTGGCAAAGGAACATTGGTGGCACAGCTGAGAAAGAGGCAAAATGGCTTTGCTCTTCTCTTCCATGAAAATGTTTTGTTTTGAAGGCAGGATCTCAGCAATTCTCAGTCTCTGGTACTGGGATTGTAGGAGAGTGCTGCCACACCTGGCCTCTCCCTTAAAATCTTTAGGCCCACAGACCTCTGCGTAGGTCAACAGCTTGTGAACCACAGAGGTAAAAATGAGCAAGTGCTTAAATTTTCTGCTCAGTTCTTCTTCACAAACTCTTCCACAGATCAGGAAATAAATAGAATTCTCATCCTTTCTTTCTGCCGCAATCTTAAGCATATCAAAGAGCATCTGCAGGGAAATGTGTGCTCATATGTGTCCTGATGGGGAATACCTCCCACTCTGATGCTGGTGCATCTGGAGAATCTGTCAGCCTTGGCATGAAAGGTTACATATGACCAAGGGTAAAGATGATTTCCTGGGAATATGCCTCAAGGAAGCTACAGAGCCAAGTAGCCTCCCTCAGGCTTCCAGGCTTCCCTGCTCCATAAGAATGTGGAAGTCTGAAGAACTTGGGAGACTCCAGATGGGACATGATCCTCTTTTTTGGTGGTAATGGGGTTTGAACCCAGGGCTTCATGCATGTACTATATCCCCAGTCCCATAAAAGAAATTTTAAAACTCTTTGAAACAGGTAACAAATGTGTGTAAATCCCATTTGTGGCTTAGCTTTAGACACACTTCAACCAGGGTAATGTACAGAATCCAAGGACAAATACTGTATTTAAGAAAATGCTTAATTCTCAGTCAGTTTACTTTTAAAATTATTTTAATGTAAGCTGCTATTAAAGTAAATTTGTATTTCTTACACTTGCCAAGACTGGATAGGAGGGGAGTCCCCAGGATCCTACTGGGAATTTGCCTGTTAAAACCCAGCTCGGAATTTAAAATAGGCTGTGAATAACCTAAAATGACACCTCTATTATATTATATTATTTCCAAAGCAAATTAGGAAACACAGAACACTGATTAATAACACTGTCCTTTTGGCCCCACATTTTCATTTAAAAACTTGCCGCAACCTTTATAAACAAATTTTCATAAAAATATAGTGAATGCTGTCACTAAGTGCTAGCCAATGGAAAGTCAGGCTCATGAAAACACCATAGTGTTCTAACTCACTTTATTCATCGGATCTAGCACTGATGACTTCTGGGTTTTTCCCAAGTCAAAATGACCATGAAAGGTAAACTTTAAATTGATTTAAAAAGCCACAATAGCAAACTAAAGACATGAAAGAGGACTTCCAAAACTGCTTCAGAAAGTGGCAATCACAATGAATAAGTGTTTAAAGTGAAAGGGAATATGCTGAGGGGGGTTTGCAATGTGTCTTTTACTGTAGTAATTTTTTAAAATCCTAAACACTGCATTTTTTATTATACCTCATACTAGTCATGTGACCACCAGAAACTATTTTACAGTGTCACATTGTCCAAAATTCTCAAAATAAGGCTCTTTAAAAGAAAGAATGCAAAGGATGCAACTTGGTGGATGTGGCTAGGTGAAGGTCACTGGTAAAATGGGTTACACTAATAGGCAGTTATCCTGAAAACCACATAAACCAGAGTAGAAGGAAAAGCAGGAGAAGGCTGGGACAACAGAAGAGAGGTGTAAAGTCTTGACAGAGCTCAAGAAGCAGCCAGCCAAAGGCCTGGCCTGGGTGACCTTGGCAGGCCCTTTCCATAAAATTATCTTCATGTCCTTTATCAGCTTTGCAGGATAGGGCAGGTAGGACCAGTCTTTGCTGTGCAGAAAGAAGCCTGGGGGTAGAATGTTAAGTACAAGGTTGTCCTGGTTCTTTATCTTTCCAAGACTGCAACACCTAGGGGCAGACAATGTCTACAGCCACTAAAAACAAATAACAAAAGAGCAAACATCTACCCTTAGTACCCAGGGCTATACTGAATTGCCACTTATCACTCCTATGGTAATTCAATAAATATTTATTAAAAATGTATGAAGCCAAGAGCAGTGGTGCATGCCTGCAATCCCAGCACTCTGGGCAGTTGAGACAATAGGATTACAGATTTGATCATAAGTATAGGCAAGTTTGTAAGACCCTATCTCAAAAAACACCCAAAAAAACAAACAAACAAACAAACAAAAAACCGCTGAGGATGTAGCTTGGAACAGAAGTCCTGGGTTTATTCTCCAACATGAAAGAAAGAAAAGGGAAGTAAAGGAAGGAAGGGATGGGAAAGGTACGTGTGTGGAGAGGGGAGAAATAGCAGATAAATGAGCCTCCAACCATATTTTTTGGTTACTGCCAATAAAAAAGAAAGTGTTTCTATCAATAAGACTAAGCCTAGAAGATCCCAATACAAATGAGGCACTCTAATGAGAACAGTTATCACCACTGTAAGTGGGAAAATACAAAGCCTAGAGTCTAGAGGCCAGAAACTCCACTTAGGAATGCATCTGACCTCCCTGTTGGATGCAGTAACACTCAGACTTGGTTTTGGACCTCAGACTCACCCAACACCTGCTCCATGGAGTCTCTGGAAAAGATTCCTTTTTTGTTTGTTTACCTGTCCCTTCATCAAGTATGGATATAGTGTCTCCAGTGGCTAATCTTTACTGTATGAATATGCAGAAAGAGTATAGTCTTTTTTTTTTTTTTTTCTTTTTCCTTTTTATCGGTACCGGGGATCGAACTCACGACTGCCTGCTTGCAAGGCAGGCGCTTATGCCGCAGAGCTAAATCCCCAGCCCCAAGAGTATAGTCTTAATAGGAAATAACCTACAAGCTAGCAGAAAATCTCCTATGTACCCTATTTCTTTCTTTTTTTTTTTTTTTTGTCTTTTTTGTTTTTATCGGTACCAGGGATCGAACTTATGACTGTCTGCTTGCAAGGCAGGCAGGCGCTTATGCCGCTGAGCTAAATCCCCAGCCCCTTGTATCCTATTTCTAATCATAGGACAATCAACAAAATTTGATTTTTAGAGCTATTGTGAAGACATGCCTTTGACATTTTATGGGAAAGTCATGACATATTGAGGGATCCAACTAGAATTTTTTGATCTATATTAAATATAACCTTTCACCCGACTTTTTCTAAATACTTATAAAGCTTCCAACAAGTTGTTAAAAATTCTT